TAAAAGGGGGCAGGTTTCCTTTAAAGTGTCCCTACTGCATTTGGGTTGTAAGAGGAGAGAGGAAAGGGAGACTTACATAAGTGGAGGCAAGGGGTGGAAGAGGAAATGGTGGGGTCACTGACCAACCATGTACACTGAAAGGAGGAGAAATGGGATATTTATATCCCACGCATTCCAGAAGGAGCCCTTCATCAATCACAGATCAGCAAAGCCTCCTCGAGTTAAGGTTTTCATACATTTTCTTCATTCCAATTCTAAGAATATATAAAAACAAGTTTTTTCTTTAAAAAAAAAATGCTTATTTCACTCATAGCTTGAATGCTAAATGCTCTCAGTCTTCAGTTTCTTTCCACTCTGCAAAAAGTAGGAAATATATCATGAGAGAACAGAACTTTGTAAGATGAATTCATTTGTGAACCTTAAACTTTGGGATATGAGGTGCAAACCGTGGTGGATAAAATATAAATATGTCTATATAGTCAAAGCATAAATGGTGCAGAGAGACAAAGGATAGGAGGAAAAATAATAGTACTTAGTCTCTTTTTTAAAGAAGGAGAAATGAAACACTGAGAGACAAGGTGACTTGCCCAAAAGGAAGTTTATGGCAAAGCAGAGAATCTCTCAAATCTCAGTCTTTGTCTCCATTACAAGTTGTATCTCTATAAACTGGGACTCTCTGGTCCAGCAACATCCGTGGTCCTACAGGACCATGGATATTCCAGAATCAGAGAGTTCCAGTACATTTCAAGGGGTGGGGTGGGAATCTGGCATGATGCAGGGTAAGGGGGCAGGAACCCAGCACGATGTAGCTAGGCTGCGGATGGGGGGAGGGCAGGAGCCCGGCATGTGGCTCAGCTAGGCTGGAAGGAAGGAGGGGGAAGGAGCTGGAATTCCCAGTATGTGGCTCAGCTGGACTGCGGGTGTGGGAAGCAGGTAGTCAAAAGCCTGGTAGGGCAGCAGAGAAGGGAGTGGGGCTTGCAGCAGAGGGGCCAGAAATGATTTCCCTTGGTCTGACAAAATCCTTTATCTGGGACCAACTGGGTCCCGAGGGTGCCGGACAAGGGAGCTTCAACATGTAGAAAGAGTTTGCTGATGAGATATATTAGTAAACTATACTTGCAGACTCTCTTTGTGGAGTTACAACTTATAATGGAAAAAAAGTTATTTCTCATAGTTTATACAAGTTCCCCCAAAAGAATAAGTGTGCTGGCAGGACTTTTGGGCTGG